ATGGCCGAGAATAAATAAGCTCACGCTCACCGCCTTCTCTCTTCTCAGTCTTTAGGAATGGACAATTTTCGAATGGCATATACCCGATTTCTCGCTTTCTATTCTGACAATCCTTCTGGACTTCACGATGGCGAAACGCCTGCGAAATGGCAAAGTAAGGCAAATTTCGCCACTCACCCCTCGACCGAAAATGAATGGCCGCCAAAACTTTTAACACGATTCAGTAGCTGAAGGATTGAACTACACAATGATACGCAGGAGAGTCTGTAAGTGTGAGCCACTTTTGAGATTTAATCCACTGAATTTGGCTAAAATCGTATGTTTCGCTAAGTTGGTCAAAGGGGCTAAGTGTGTTTCCTCAGATTTTCTAAACGAAAAGGTGTTGATGATTCTGACCTGGATTATTTTAAAGATAAAGGCTCAATTAAATCAACTAGTAAATTGGAAGCTTTGGGTCGCACTCTTTTGTCCGGAGCAATCGGTTGAATTTTGACAAAATTTGCATCTTTCACAAGCATCTCAGGTCCCCGTGTGGCGCCGAAAGAAAATTCGTTAAAAAAATTTGCAGAAGCGAATTTCTCCAATCTAGTTTCATTTTTGTTATATACTTATTAAAAGAAATCTACAGAAAAATTATGAGCGAAATCCATTTTGTGGGCAAAACTCGATATGAGGATCTTACAGATACTGGCTCTTAAATTTAGTCTTCAGCATGGCAGTGGAAAAGCAATTAAAAGCCATGCTACTGCCAAGAGCAAGCGATAAACGTCAGAATACCCCCCACCCAATTGCACTTGCAGTGAATAAATCCGTCGCAGTATTCGTTTCCAAATATGTGCTAAAGCGACCTCTACAGGGAAAATTGTACGGGGTCTGTGAACAGGCTTAAGGCAGTAGAATGCCGGTAATGTTTGGAAATGTTTGAAACGAGCTATAAAACACTTTTCTCTGATCATTTTGGATATAAAAACAGCTAGATTAATTTAGAGCAGTTTAGGGGGCACATTTACATAGGGGGCACATTAACAGTACAGTCAACTCCCGATAACTCGAACCTTCAAGGGAAATGGAAAAAGGTTCGAGTTATCGAGAGTTCGAGTTACCTGGAGTTCGAAGAAAATAGCCGAGAGAAAGGTAAAAAACAGTTTTTACTGCACAGTGAACATCTTAATCACATTTAATGGTAGAAATGTCAAGTGTTACTACAGCAGTGCTGTAGTAAGGAGTTTTCAGTATTTATGGTCAGCGGTTGTTACCATTTGCTTAGGACTCGTGCTAATTGCCGCCATGTTCTTGTTTATCACATGTGTTATTTAGGTTTACAATCCATGTAATACTTCGCTCATCCGTATCGTGTAAGGCAGACGAAGTTGTTATCTGAAGAACTGAAGAGTTAAAGATTATTTGGAGATAAAGGAAAGATCTGACGATTCAAGTTTTTCTCTTTTTCTTGTGAATAACAACGAAACTACTTCGGATGCCAAGTACGACTTTCGAGGGCAGCCACAGTCAAGTGAAAAGTAAAAGATACTTTTAGATTATAAATCAGAACGTAACGTAACAAAACAGCCTAAATAGAGCATGCGTTTTACTGTTTTGAGAAGTAAAGCTGCTTCACGTTAGCCTGTGACAATCAACATAAGCCTCCACCAGTAAACTATACTCCTACAACACGTCAATAGGAAATCCAAAATTCAATGTTTCGGACGCCAGTAGACGGCTTTTTTCCCGACTTTTTAAGGGCTCAAAACATGGTTCGAGTTATCGTGGGTAAAATTATATAGAAAATGACCTGAAGGGAAACGAAAATTGGTTCGAGTTAGCGGGAGTTCGAGGGTTCGAGTTAGCGAGGGTTATGTATTACGGAAATCCAGGGGGAATCGATTTTGGTTCGAGTTAGCGCGAGGTTCGAGTTAGCTAGGGTTCGAGTTATCGGGAGTCGACTGTACTTATCACCTTTTTTTTATACAAAAATATGTGCGATAAAAATATGTGCGCATCCTTCAATCCTTCCAAGCTGAAAGAACTGAAAATTTTGACCTCAAAACCTGCAGATGCATACGGTCATATAAAGACTTAAATAGAGGGAGACTGGTGCTGACCTCCAAAAGTCAGGTCACCAATTAGATTACACTTATAAAAACATTAAGAAAAGCCTCCATATAAGAAAAACTAGTTTTGCCGCCAGAAATAGAGGATTTGAAAGGTCTGCTCCTTAGGTGAGATAGCCTGTGAGATGGAAGGGGAAAGGGGAGAGTTGTTAGACACCATAATTTTAATTTACTGACTCAGTGTAGAAGAATTCTTTAATAAGGCACTTGGATGATCTTTTTATTAGATAAGTCTCAATTTCCCGTGAATTCTGTGGTTGCTGCGGAAGTTAAGATTACATTTTCACATCTTCTTAAACAGGCTTACACGTTTTGCAAATAAGCTCAGTCCAGATTTGAGTGAACTTTCCTACAAATAAAAAAGCTCGAAACTAAATATGTACTCAAATAAAAGGTTCTCTTCTTTGTCAGGTTTACCTCTCTTTGTCGTTAAAAATGACTGCATGCGAAAGAAGGGAAAAGGACACTTAGTTGAATTTTACATGACGCTATACACTGCTAGCCACACGCCTTTCAAAATAGTGGCAGAACAATCACAAACAACCACGCTTACTTGTAAGGTGTGTTTAGTGTTAAATCACCCTGAAATAATATTGATCTTTCTTCTTAATTCAAGGTAAAAATCATTGTTTGCTTTACTTGAATTGAGCACTTTTTTGTGAATTATGCGATTTTTCTTGATATCTTCAAGTTATCACACGTCACTTCTAGCTACAAAAGTAAAAAAGGCGAGCTTATAGTTTGAAAGAATAATGAAATTTGAAAACGCAATTAATTTTTTAATAATTAATTTCAGTAATTTTTTTGAAAACTTATAGATTGAAGGGATTGAAACATCGATAAAATTGAAACTAACCCCCGAGGATGTATTTTTAGGTTCAGAGCCCGCATCTGGATTTCCAGAGCTGTTAACCACCCCTCCCATGAGATTTTTCCAGCATGCCTTCCGTTGTGAGTATGTGGATTTTTTCTGGAATAACCCAATGATACCTTTCTTATTTTCGAAGACGTTTAGTATAGTGAATGATAAACAAACAACTGATGAGCAATATGAGTATTTTCTCATCATGATGGAACTGTTTCGTCAGCGAACTACTTGCTGCATTGATTGTACAATACACGAAGTTTATATTAGCTTTCAAATATCTCGCAAGGTTTTAATAGACCTTTCTGCCTCAACCATTCACGCACAAAGAAAGTGTCTTTTCCTTTTAACTCTTCAAACGATACATTGGTTGTTTTCCCTCTAAGTGCGAACTGGTCACGATGGCTGCAAGACTTTGAGACAATACCGCCAGGCGTAGCTAGGACCGACAAGATGACAAATGCCCGGGGGGGGGGGGGAAATGGGCACGCTTGGAATAGGACAAGTGCATGATGATGATATTTGACTACAACTACCAGAATTCATTTAGGTTTTGCTTTGTTATTTAAATTTGTCAATCCCGTTGAGGATTAAAGAACAATAGCCAAGCCTTAATTTGCACAAGAAAACAACAAACTCAAGGATTCTGGTAGTTGTAGTAAAATGACGTCATCATGCAAATTTTGTCCTATTGACTGAGCCATTAATCCAAACTGAAACATTCCTTGTCTGTATATGTATTACGGTTTGTCTCTGATTGTAGGGGATAGGGAGGGAATATTCACCATAAATGATTACCAAATCAGCTCCCAAACTAAATACGAGCTTACTTCATTTTCATCCCTAAAGAGCGTCTGAATCCGTCTCCAGGGTTAATTTGTTTGACAATATCAGAAACAATTTCTCGCTCTCGCTTTCCGTTTTCGGGAAAGTGTGGCATAGCTCTGAATTAAAGTATAAATGCTTATTAATAGTTACCAAGAAAAGAAATTACGACCAACCTTGAAAACTAATCACGGTGCAGCGAAAACCTCTCAGCTTCTTCGGGGAAAGGCGGAAGTGGACCAGCGTTTTGACAATTGTTCCCGAATTGACTGAGCCCGCGATGAAAAATACTGAGGAAAGAATGGACAGAGAGAACTCTCGAGGGTAGTGTAAGCACAAATTCTGCCAAACTGATGCAGAGATCACTGATCCCTTTTGGGGCATTTGTATCCTTAAATTACCTTTATTTACATCAGCAATTTGTATTTATATTCGCATCATTTTTCGTCGCCTCAACACCTGTGCACCCCTGGTTTCGGCATCTCATTGTAATTTCTGTAACTTCATCTAGGGGTTAAGATACCAGAAGAGGGGTGAAATGGCTAAATTAATTCAGGCTACCTGCACCCAGATTGTCTCTTTTCACTCGTCAATGAAGCAACGCAAAAGTGCTGGCTACACAAGTAAACTTTAGCCACCCTAGCAGCGAGCAGCTAGAAGAAATGGCTGCATTTCGCCGGTTAAATAAACTTAGAGCACAAGGTGACCATATATATTTTCAGAATCATTACATCAGGCACGCAGGTATAATTTGGAACGATTACTGCGTAGTGATTAGAATACGAACAGTTCATTTTCTATTCTTCATCAATAATCCGTGACACAAAAGCTGTTTACTTTTATATTATATGTTGTAGCTTGCATTCACCATCACTTGCCCAAGGGTCATCAGATGTTTACAACGTTATTAAAAAAATAACCTAAAGTACTAATAAAGAATTTTAGACAAAGAAAACTTTTGTAGTGAAATATAAACAGAACTGGAAAAAATTGATAAAGATGCATCCTAATAAATGGGAAAAACGGGGGCAAAAAAGGAAATGAAGACTTCACTTGACCTCGGGGTCAAGTATTTGCCTATCAACTTGACTGAAAGCACGTTCCATTGCAATGACGCATAAAAATATATACACACTGAAGTAAACAGTGTTACAGCAAAACCTTCAATTGTTATGAAACAACCATCAACTTCGCGTGAAAGAATCAGTGGATAGCTCACAAAAAGCAACCAGATCAACAAAGTCATCCCGAAAAAAAAAAAAGAAAATTACATCGATCAGAATTGCAGTGTAAGGTTCGAAATGGAAGTCCTAGACTCGATCAAACAAGTGTTACGCACGCAGGAAATGGAGGTCGCAGAATCCACAAATCCGCAGGATGGAATGGAAGTTTTGCACACGGTCGAAATGGACCTGACGGATGCAAATGATGTGGCAGACGGAAAGGTTATGAAGGAAAAAGTCACGTTCTTGGAAATGAAAACATTCAAGAGGAACGTCAGTTCGTTAGAGGGCTTGGAAGAGAGCACTGAGCTGGACCCATTGAAGATCATCTGCGTTGGTGAGTTTACAGGCGGGGTTCGAGCAAAGGGCGTTTTTATCAAAGACTACCTGGGAATTAAACCTACAGCTAGAATCCACCCTTTCAACTCCGTAGATTTCTACTTAAAAAGAGTGAACAGGTTGCGGCTTGGAGACTATAGAAGTCACTTCTCTATAGTTCTTCAGCTATGCGAGATTTCGGATATGGAGCGATTTTCTGCCATGACGAAGGTCTTCTTTCAACATAGCCAGGGTGCACTGGTGTTTTGGGGGCCTCGCAATCCGTCATCGCTTGCCAGAGCCGTGCAGTGGAAAGCAAAGATCGCACAAGAAGTTTATTCGCCGATTCCTTGCGTTTTAGTGACGGAGAATATTAAAGATTCACAGTTAAAATCAGTGGAGTGGATCGGGCAAGGGAAAATATTTGAAAACGAGTTGGCTCTAGATAGGTTCTGTCGAAGACACGGTTTTGTGGATCATTTTGAAATCAAATTCCGTGACTGGGAATCTGGAGAAAAGAGCGTTTTCGGACAAGCTGTGACCTGTGCTCTTGACGAGATTTTGCAGAACGAACATAAACAAGACAAAACTTGGATTTGACTCAAAAATAACCTGTATAGAGTGAGCTTTATTACTACTTAAAACCGAGCGGCTTTTTTGATTGAGGATCTTATCAACTTTCACTTTTTTCCAAGGGAAAATTTGTTACGAAATTTTCCTTTGTGGTCTTTTTTGTTAATCCTACTATTGTATAAATTTGCTTTGTAACAAAAGCCCTACCTAAAAATGTTAAGAGTGGTTGTCAGAGAAAACCGGGCAAAATGTTAAAAATGTCAACGGAAGGGGGTCAACAGAATAAGTTCATACTAACATCATAGATAGGTCTGGTGGAGTAATGGACAAATATACCAAACATAGGTTCTTCACTGCTCTTGTATTAGAGATACGAGCATCACTTTATTCGACCCCCTCGGACGCCATTTTTATAAGCAAATTTTCACCATTTTCTGAAACTCACAGAACCCTCAAAATTTAACGAGCGAAGTTTATTTTTTGTATGCGATACAACACATCACAGAACTACTTTCTAAAACCATAAGATTTTTTAAGTAGCCACGGACAAGACTAAAATTTTCTTATTTTATCTGACCTAAACTCAGTGTCTGCAAACGAGCAAAAAATCGGGCATTTTGAATTGATCTACAGCGCACAACTAAAACGACAGAACAACTCTGACAGCGAAATTGAAGTCTACTATCATCCATGTAACTAAAACACTAATAATCATTTTGGGCCATTGAAACAGGAAGAAATTAGAAAAACGTGTTTGTTTTTAAGTCCTCTTCGTGAATTTTCTTTCATATTTCGCTGTAAAGTATGCTCAGCAGCTGGAGGACATATCAGAAAGCTCGAAATACTGCCTAGGTTACATTTTGAAAGGGCAAAAAGTGCTGAACGATAGGGTGAAACTAGAAAATAACAAAGCGACGCCATCTTGAAAATTCAGAACTCAGGAGGGACTGGCACTAGTAGCTGCCTTGTCCACAAGTGATGAATTACCAAACAGATAAAAGACAAAAACAAACAAACCGGCTTATCAGCGACCTATTACAGTCCTATTTCTTCTTCAATTACTACTTTTAGTTAAATTGTTGTCGTTTTTTTTTTTTGGCCGAGTGATGGGGTGTGGTGAACGGGTGACCAATTGGCATTACTTTATTCAGTCTTTTCATTCACTTCGTTTAGAGTTATCCCGTATAAGTCTTAGCGTTTCTCTGGACTCTTTATTGTATCATCTATTTTTGCGTCAGTCTTCAATCACCGTCCATGTCCGAAGGTCCACTCATCTCCTGTTCATGATTTCCTGATGCACAGTTTCAAAGTCCGGAAGGCTTCGCCCGAGGGGTATCTCTTTCAAGCATCGGATGTATCAAAGGGTAGCTAGGAAATCAGTCTACCGAGAAAAGAAAACGATCGCCACCTACCTTTAAAACTATAAAGCACGGTGCAGACACAGCTCGCTTTTTTTTTACGCCGCGCGGAAAGGAGGCGGAAGTGGACAAGTGTTCCAGGATTGACTGAGCCCGCGAACGAAATTTACTGAGTGAAAAGAGGACAGAGGGATCCCTCGAGGGTAGGGTAAGCACAAATTCTGCAG